CGGGACGGGGACGAGCGGGCCGCTCTCGTCCACGGGCTGCTGCCGCCGTCCGTCCGCCCGCTCGCCGCCTCCCGGCGGCCCATTTATCCGGAGAGGGTGGGAGGGGAGCCGGGGAGCGCCCTCCCCTTCCCCCGGCCCCCCAGCTCTGCCCCGGCCGCACGTTTTCAGGCATTTCCCAGGCAGGGAGCGGGTTTGGCGCCGCCCGCCCGCCCTTTCCCCCCCGGGCGTCGCCCCCCGAGGAGACCTGAGGCAACCCCCGCGCGCGGCGGTGCCCCCGGCCTTCGGGAGAGGGGCCTCCCCACCCGCCGTCGCGGAGCTGCGGTTCCCTCCGCTGATTTCCCTCGCTTCTCTCTGATTTTTTCCTCACTTCTGTCTGATTTTTTCCTCAGTTCTGTCAGATTTTTACCTCAGCTCTGACTTTTCATCTCTCTTTCATCCCCAGGCAGATTTTCCCCTCAGTGCTCAGGCACGTGGGCTGTGAGGGAAGAGCTCTTCTCAAGAGCCGTTGTCCCTCTTCGCTTTGAGGAGACCAAGGGTGGTTTCACCAAGGCAGTGGGTGAGCATGGCCATGTTGGCTACCAGGGTGTACAAGCCCACTGTGGCCCCTGTGCTGGCCATACCCTCATGGCGGTCCTTAAGCCTCCCAGTTAGTGCCACCCAAACCACAGTCTCTCGGACTGACTTCACAGCTGCTGGTCCACAACCACCAAGGAGACATCATGTGTTTGAGGCCACCATAAATGTAAAGGGAGGGCATCCTGAACCCCAGCACGGCTGCTAGCCAGGAGAGGGTGGTGGTAGAACACTGAGGGGAACGGAGAGTCCCTGTCAGCCCTCACAATCTGGAGAAGCAAGCAGTGATTAAACAGGTCAGGTTTGCTGAAGCCAATGTGGACATTTATTGCACAGTAACTGGCTGACTGGTTAACATTACCTTGTCCACAGCCCTGGTTATGTTTTTCTTGTGTTTTCTCTCCACATGAGTCCAGACTCCATGACTATGCTGAGAAATTTGGGGCAGGCCCACTCATACAGCTCAGCCCGGTGGAGCTTTGCTCATGGCAAACAGGTTTCCATGTGAAGCCATTGAAATCCAACCGGATGACTCCTTTTGGTCTGAGTTGTTGGCCTAGTACCCAGCAGAATGATGCTGGATTTGTGGCTGTTTGTGCTAAAAAACCAAAAAAAAGTGACAAACACAACTTTTGTTGTGGTGGCTGATGAAAACGTTAGGGGTCTGGTATTGAACCTAGGGATGAAGGCTTTCACACACAAGCTTTGAAGATGGCACAAAGTCCTTGGAGGTAGGGGTTGATCCTAAAAGGGCCCTCGCTCCATCCTGCTGAGGGAGTGGATTACACTCTATGGTGGTAGGTGAACTTGCCAGCTCATAAAGCTGGATTTGTTTAGACATATTCTTGTTCAAGTCAAAAGGGAAGGCCAATGATGCCCAAACCGACCCTTGGCTGAAATGAGGGGCCCTCCTCACAGTGACTGAAGCGATCTGTATGCACTGAGCTGTGTGGAGGAATGTCACTGATTTATAAATGTCAAACAGGCACCGAGCAGCCCACACACGAATCTCAGTGAATTCTTACCTCTGACCCGCTCATCGGCTCCAGCAGCCGCACGGGCTGATTTAGAGCCCCTTACTGTAAAGGCTCTAATGTCTCACACAGGCTACGGCTGATCTGAAAATGTCAAAGGCGACCGAAGGTCAAAATTTCCATAAATTAGGCCCTGGCTTGCTACCTATCACGTAATAGGATTCCCTGGCCAGTTAACACTGTGAACTCAGGCATTCAGCCCAGCGGTTCCCCTGCAGCCCTGTTCCCCTGCCCCTCTCCTGAACCGACAAGACTGTATGTGCAAGGGGAAGGAGTGTCTTCAGAGCTGCTTTCCTCCAAGGAGAAAAAAGGAGCAGGACAAAGAGACACTAGCGAGGGGTGAGTGTGCTATCCTTTGTTCCTGGAGAGGTATATTTTAACTTGGGGAGCAGTTGGAGGGAGGCTGTGTTATCTCTTGTTTTGAGAAACTACAATCCAATTTTTCCTGGAGCTAAATAACATATACTTTTAAAGCTAAATTTCAGTACAACATATGCCTCCAGCACAGAAGTGGGTATTTGTGGTTGTGGGTTTGCTGGGCTCTAAACAGTTGAAACTCCAGGCATTGTTGAGCATTGCCAAGCATTTGTAGGGCTATTGACACGACTGGCAAACTGCTGCTGGGTTCTGCAGGCCATGTGTGTGCACATACTATGGTGCTATTGTTATTATTGTTGTTGTTGTTGTTCTGCAGGGCATATGTGTACACATATTATGATGGTGGTGGTGTTATTACAGTTGTTATTATCATGTTTAAAGTTACTAGTGGGTTGCTCACCCAAAATGGAGCTTTCTAGTGTAAAGCACAAGGTGGGTAGGTCGTAAGAAATGTTGCCGTCTTGATGGCTGTGATGGAAATGACTCGTTCTTTGGTCAGAAGATCTCCTGGAACCACAGTATACGGCTCTTGGCCAGTGAAAATTTGCCTGAATGGAAACTTGGTAAAGGATACAGTATGCAGACACAGGGGTTTATAGAGGTAGTAGAATTAGACCTGTTGAAACAGGACGTAAATATTGCATGGCGCCCTACCAAAGGAGAAAAACAACAAGTGGGGGATTTTCAGTTGAGGCCATGTTGCTCTACTGAAACCCTCCTTAGTTCAGCAATTCTTAATTTGCTGGAAGAAATCACTAGGGACTGGTACATTCCTGTGTCTTGGCTTGGGAACAGGGAAACTGGGCCCTTGTGTCTACGGTGGGACGAGGAGGAAGGAAAAGTCTGGAGGGAAGTTTTCTGGAGCAGCCAAGTGCAGACAAACAGGTGCAAACACAGCGGTACAAGGGCAGCAGTGTGTGAAGGCGTAGGCTGTGGGACACTGGCCTCCACTAGTAGCACTAACTCCAAAGAAATAACCCTGCCTAACTGGGAATTAGAGTGTAAAAAACCAGTAAATAAGGAGTGAGGAGCCAAGTAGCAGAAAACTAGGGAAAAATCTAGCAGGACTGTATCTGTTAAGATTCACTCTTAGGCAGAGGTGTACTTCTGACAACATCAATTAAAGAGAGCTTTAGGAAGTACACATCTCAGAACTTCTCCAAGTTTTTTTTTTCATTGATCTATTTTGTTATAAAATGCAACCCCAGTCCCAGTCCTGAAATGGGTGAAGAAACGCATGTAAAGAAACCCTTGTGCTTTGCTGGGAGCTGCAGGGGCTTGGTGCTGCTCAGGACCAGAGAGACCTGCTGTGTGCCAGGCTGGTGATAACCACACGTGCCATTGACAGCTCTTCTCAGGTAATGAGCATCAGGGGTGGGATGTGGTCTGTGCCCTGGCTCACTGGGCTTACATTCAGTTGGCTGAGGTTTCCAGGTGAGGCTTTACAACACAAAATCTGCTGAGGGCTGTGTGGTCTTTACAGATGCCTCAGTTAAGTGCTAGAACTTGGTCCACATGCTTGGATGTTTGTTCCTCTTTGCTACTGGCCTGCCTTGTCAAGTACTGTGGGACTCACATCTGGTACTCCTTGCACTGGTGGTATTCCTGGGATCCCCTTGCAGCCTGTTTACAATTCCGACCTTTTCTCTGCCCTCCTTCCCTATGTCCACGTTCTGGCTGGACTGCTGTGTCCAGCACAACTGTGCTACAAAGTCCAGTAGCCCTTTATGGCCATGAATATTCCACTGGTAAGATATATCATGAACGCTCAGATCAAAATGTGAAAAATGATGTAGCACATGTGGGAATTCATGAGAGAGAGTGTGTGGGCAGTGGGGACAGGAATCCAGACAGCCTTCCTGGTGTGAGCAGCCGGGCTTCTGGATAAAAGCTGGTATCCCTCCTTGAATCCACTGGGGTTCAAGCCTCTCTCTGCTTTGATGAGTCCTCTGCCTCCTGTTTTCCCAGCTATTCTCTTAGCTAGATTTGAGTACTTTAGGAATCTGCCGTCCCACAGACATGG